TGGTGCCAAAGCCAAGCTCTGTCTTCTATGAAAGTGTATTTGATAGAAACAAAATCTAAAATAAAATAAATTAATTTTTTCTAAATTTCAATAAAAATTTTCTTCCATTCTCAAATTCAATATCAAATAACTCAAAATCAAAAACATAAATTAAACTTAAATATAATAAAAAAATAAACCATAAATTAAAAAAATTCTAAAACTCAGCCTCAACTAACCCAAAATCAAACACATATAACAAACTCAAATATAATAAAAAAAAAGCTAAAAAAAAAAAAAAAATTTATTCATCTACCAATACCCAAATCCTCCGCAACATCAAATCATCAAATCACACAAAAAAAAAAAAAAAACCACGTCTCCTACAAAAGAGAGAAGCAGTGACAAAAAAAAAAATTAGTTTAAGATTGTTTTGGAGCTTGATCTTTAGGGAGGAGGAAGGTCAGGACCAAATAAAGAACGTAGATGGAATTGGTGGCCAGTAGAGCAGCGAAAAAAATGTTTAAAACGTTGGAAACCACGACTTTTAGGCTCAAATCTAGGGCTCTAGGATGAGTTTTAGCAAAAAGTGAGACGACAAACAAAAAGAAGAGAGAAAAAGGGGTTTGAGACAAGTTTTTGGAGGTAAACCGCCGGCAAACGAAATTTTACGCAACAAAAAAAAAAAAAAAAAAACCACCCATAATAACAAAAAAAAAGGACATGGCTTTAGAAAAAATATAAGGATTAGGGTTTTGCATTTTAGAAGGGTTTTTCATTTATGAAGGAAAAAGAAAATTGGAAATCCATATTACACTAACAACCATTAATGGCAAAAAGATGTTAGATCTAGGATTTTAGAGACAAAAATGATTAAGAAGAAAAAAAAGAAAGGAAAAGGAGAGAAACAAGATGAATGATTCTGCCAAGTCAAAAGCAACGAGTGGAGGGAAGGAAAATTTTCTGATGACCACCGACGATGACAAGAAGACCAAATGAGAGATTTGAAAGATAAAAATGAGAGGGACGAATGACAGAGTTTCTAGAAAAAAAAGGTGTAAAACTGAATTTTAGAGTTTTTAATGACTTAATGTAAATATAAAACAACTCGTTTCATTGCATCAAAAAAAGAAAAATAATAAAAATTGAACTTGCCTTTTGTCCAAATAAACATGGGCTCAAAGTAATATATTTTACTATAGCTTGAAGATATACTTTTTAGCGCAATTTTTCATTTATATAATTAATAAATTAATAATGATAGTAATATATAATTATTTTAAAAATCCTATTTATTTTCGTTAGTTTATCTTAAGAAATCTTCTTTATATTTAAAGCCACCCCAAATGTATTCTATTGACCTAATTTACTAAATTAAAATTCAAGTCCAATTCTTTTTTTTTTTTTTGTATTATGAGGTATAGTTTTTAACATATAATTATTTTTAATTAATATTTAACATCAATTAATAATAAGAAAAATATCATAATAATGGTTTAAAATACTATGAATTATATTTTTTAAGGAAATTTGAGATAAAAATAGATATGTTGCAAATCAATTATTAATTAAAAAATTAAATAGAATTTTTTAAATGAAATTGATAGATACTTACATTTAAAAAAAATTCAAATAATTAATATGACCCTAGGTATTGTTGGAAGATTTTATATATATGAAAAAAAAATCCCCTAAGGATTTCCATTTTGACATTTGTCCATTAAATAAAATTATTATTTTATCCTTCATAAAAAACAAATTGCACAATCAATTATATAAAATAACTATTATAATTAAAATCTAAATAAAAAATCTAAAATTTTAAATAAAAAATTAAAACCTATTTTTTACTCTTTAAACCAGAAAAATATTAGCTAAAAGCTATAAATAGAAATTCAAGATTTCATTCAAAAATTAAAAAAAAAATCCATCTAAGGGCTACAACAAAGCACAATTTCCTGCAGTTAAAGAATACCAACTAAATTTCATGAAAAAAAAATAAATAAATCACCACAATAAACATCATTTTTATTTCAAAATTAAAAAAATGAAAGAATAAAAGTTAGATGAAGAATCTTTGTGTAGGTTTAAGGAATTTTAAATTGGCTTTAAAACACATAGATTTGGTATTTAAAAAAAAATGAATCGGCATATTTGACTTAAAATTAAATATGATGATTCATATATTTGTATCATATAAGACATTAAATTTTATATATTCGTATTGTGTTTTATATAAAATTATATGTCATAATTTTTATCCACATAAAAATATGAAATATATATTTTATTTTATTAAACTCATATATAATTATTATTAAAATTTTAAACTGTTTTTGTTACTTTCATATTTTTTATTTATATCATATTCATGTTGTATCATCATATTAATTTTAAATTATCAGGTTTACCCAAAGTCAAGCTCATTTAGAGATTGAGTTATTGGTTATGCTTTGATGGTATAAGGATTTAAATCTACATTTTTATAAAAAAAAAAAAAAATTGATCAATTACGCCTCAGTATTCTTTTATGTCAATTAATTTTTATTTAAGGGTAATATTAAATTTATGAAATTGGTTGAAAATTATAAATAACAAAATAAAATCATTAATTGAATAAGTGAAATTACCTCTCACAATAATAATAAAAATAGAATATAGTTATTTTAAAATAATTAAAAAATATACAAAATTTTATTAAATAAATATTGACATCAAATAATTAACAAAAAATGAAAAAATAAAAATATTTACAGTTTAACTGAAATTTTGTAAATTCAAATCATAAAATCAATTAGATACATATACTTTCTATTAAAAAATAAAAGTGATTTATATTTTAAAAATAAAAAATTTTAACCGGGGCATAGCCGGGGACTTTTACAAGTTGTACTTAAAATTATCAACTTTACTGAAAAGCTATTTTATAAAAAAAAAAAAAAAAACACTTCATTTCCCCAAAAAGTCCCTCCCGATTCTTCCCAACTGTGGTCCCACAGTTAAAATCTGTTAATAATTTTCAAAAGGGTATTTAAGTAAAACCAGTAAAAGATAATCAGTACTTCTATTAATTATTTTAGTACCAATTTATCAAATATAATCAGTGATGGGTGGGTCCAGTTCAGGAATCCGGGAATTGAACTGGGTCTTAGGTAGGGCCCATCGGTAGGCCCATCTGGGGCCTTGATTATGATGATGATTGGTCTACAAGGGCGGTCCGTGATTTAATTTTTACAATTTTTTTTTTTCCAAATTCATTTTGGTCAAAAAGGGGAAATTATGAAGGGCCCGCACCTAGACTCTGACGCATGGATGGCTATGGCTTCAGAAGTTTTAGTTGATTCACTACATTGGTAAAGTTTTAGTTGATTCAAGCTGATCATTCGGCTTGCTCATCAAATTTCAGGCCCCGTTTGTTTCCTTTTTTGGTCTTAAATATTATTTTTTAGGGCTAATTACATTTTTTTACATAGAATTTGGAAAAACATATAAATTAGTCCTATAGAATTTAAATGTAATTTGTATTTCTATTTTCAAATTATATATTATGTTAGCTTAAATTTTAATCTCATTAATTATATCAATTTATATATATAATATTTAATAAATATTATCAAGTTATATATTAATCACATATACTATTAACATATTTTTCAATATGAATTAAAAATATATTTTTATCTAAATATAAATATTATCTAAAAGTGATTAATTGTTATTTTTCATGATATCCATTTGACATTTATATGAATTTTTTATAAAATATTTAATATTTTTATTTAACGAATAATTTGTTTTAATAAAATTATACAAATTAAATACCATACAAGTAATTAAGTTAACAATATAGTATTAGCATTTGGATTAAAATAATTATATTTTGAAAGTTTGTAACATAAATTTTAAATTTTAATTCTCTAAGTATCAATTTATATAATATTTTCTAAAATTTAAATACAAAAAATGTAGTAAATTCATTTTTTAATGATTCAATACTTTGAAAATTTTGATCATCCATACTATCTCTTTTGTTGGACTTATTTTATCATGTTCTGGTTATTTTTATGATATAGATAATGCCAAATAAAAAATAAATGATAATTTTAAAACTTTAAAAGTTATTAATAAATATTTACAAATTTTAATTATTTAATTAAGCAAAAATAAATTTTTATTTAACGACAAAAGATTTCTAGACTCCGTTTAAAACATCTTCTCTTAAGACAGTAAGTAAAAATAATTTATTAATGAGTCTTATTTTGTTTTCTGTTAAAATTTCTTTGAACGAAATCTTTTTGCAAAAACTAGATGCAATAAGACCTAAAAAACCTAAACTAAAAATAGAAGAGTCCATTAATTTTTGGATTCTAACTCCGTTGTTGTTTATATCGGTGAAGAAAAACAACTAGATGTCTGTCTGCATTTTTCTTTTTGACGACGACCCATAATTGGCCTCCACCAAATCACGTCACTGTTCAATTCTTTAAAAGTTTTTCAAAAAAATTTAAATATTTTTTCAACATTATCATTTAGACTTGTCTCTGTTTTTTTTTTTTTTAAATAATTGAAAGAAGTTTTGAGAAATTAAAAGTGTTCAAAAAAAAAAAAAAACAAAAACCACAAACTCTAAAGCCGTGAGAAATAGCCAAGCCAAGCCAAGAGCAAGCAAACTCCAGGTTGAACAGGAGGTTTGATTAAGGTAATGTTCGGTTGAGCAGTCTCGTCAGTTTTGAAAGCCTTCCTGCTTTTATATAATGAGGCGACCAGTGAAGTCAAGGAAGACAGTAGCAATCGAAGTTCTACCGGAAAAAATCATCAGCAGCTGCCGAAGAAAGCAGCAGAAGGAGGAAGCAAAGGGAAAAAGCTAAAAAAAAAAATTGACGTGAAAAATACTGCTATTATTAGGAGACAGACAGTGGAGAGGAGCTGTGGCCTTTAGCCAAAAACAACTACTGATTCCCATCAACAACTCCTCAAAGTAACAAAAAAGCTCTCTTTTATATATATATATATATTTTTTATTTTTGTTTCTGCCTTACTCTCAGTCAGTCTCTCTCTCTCTCACTTTCTTTTCTATTTTTCTCTGTCATTTCTCTGCAATTCCATGCCAATTTTTCAGCACTGATGATGGAGAATATGAAATAGTGGGGTTTCAAAATAAAATATCATAGAAAAAAGGTAAACCCACTAAAGAGAGAGAGAACCAAAAAAAAAAAAAATGATAACCCCACATTTCAGAATTCACTAATCATTTTGTTTTCCTGCTGGGTTTTTTTTCTTTTTCATTTTTTCAGGCCTTGCTAGGTAATAAATCTATATTGTTTTTTTCCTTTTGGGGTTTTACGTGAAGGGTTTTTGTCTATATCTATTGAATCTTTTATCATAGAAAAAACCAAACTGCATTGTGACGAGATCAAAGAAGATGGCAAAAAAATAAAAAGCAAAAGCAAAGCCAAAAAAGAAAGCTTTAATAGAAGAAAGGAAAAAAATACAAAACCTTCTTTCTTCTGATTCATTGCACGTTTGGTCTCTTTGATGATGACCCTTCAGGTGGCATTAGCTGAGAAATAAGGGAAATAAAAAGTGAAACGTTTTTTCTTCTTTCTTTTTTCTTTTTTCCTGTTTTGTAATTCACTGCTCTGAATTGGAAGACACAGAGTTCTAGCAAAGAGAGAGAGAGAGAGAGAGAGAGAGAGAGAGAGAGATTTCATGGGGCCTTTGGTTTTGTTTTCTGGTTTCTGGGTTTTGTGAAGATGGTGGTTTTGACTGTATTGATATTGCCTTTGTTTTCCTCGTTCTCTAATATTAAACTCAAAAGAGGAGAAAAAGAAAATCCTACCTTCTTCTATCTTTGAAGCTTAAAGCTGCCTTGAAAGGTTTTCTTCCAACCAACAGCACTTTTTGGTTAAAAAACCGATCTTTCCGGGTAAGTCTCTCTCTTCTCCTCTGTTAAATTGCTTTTCTCCATGTAATGTTGTTATTATTATTTTTTTTATTGTTATAGTTCAACACTAATACCAAAATTTCAATTGATGCTCTAGAAGAGATCAACAGCAAGAACCAGCAACTGAAGCTTTAGATTTTAATAATGGCAGACTGTGACACTACTCTTCCATCTCCCAAAGACAACAAGGAACAGAAGAAACCCACTTCATTTCCTAGGTTGTTCACTGGTTTTACTTTAAAAGCCTTTTCTGATAATACTGAGGCTGTTATGAGCCCAACTTCTATTCTTGATAGCAAGCCCTTTTCAGCTTTCAAAAACCCTTTTTGGTCCGAATCAAGCACCCCCAGAACCCCAGAACCTGAAATTAGACACAAAATTGACTCTAAAGGAATTGGTCTTGGCATTGTTGATGCTCTCAAAGATGATGCTTTTGATTCCAACCTGTCAAAACCTGTCCTTTTCGGTTCACAACTTAGGATCCAAATTCCATCCCTTCCTCCTGTTTTTTCTCCTGCAGAATCTCCTAGAACACCTCCTGAATTTGGTATCAAAACAAGGAATTCTGAATTGAGTTCATTTTCTTCTGGCTTGTCTCCTTCTCCCATGAGGAAAAGCATTGAGGCATTGAATTCTCCTAGGTTCTTCACCGGGAGTCTCTCAGCTACTGAGATGGAACTCTCAGAAGATTACACATGTGTAATATCACATGGGCCTAATCCAAGAACCACCCATATTTTTGATAATTGCATTGTTGAGAACTGTTGTGGGGTAGTTGGGTTCACTTCTTCGAAGAGGGAGAATGGATTTTTGGGTGATAGATCAAGTTACCAATCTGACAGTTTTCTCAGCTTCTGTTATACTTGCAGGAAGAATCTTGGTCAGGGAAAAGACATTTACATGTACAGGTTAGCTTCATGTTTTCCTTTTGTGGAATTTGCTTTGCTTTCGTCTTTCTGACATGATTTGATATTTTGTTATTACTCTATCTTCTTTTATTGGTGGAAAAATTTGAAGTTTTTTGAATATCAAACTTGCTTTTATTATCAATACAACCAATTTCAAAATCTAGAATCTCATTGCCCTGTTCTCTTTCAGAGGGGAGAAAGCATTTTGCAGCAGAGAATGCCGGTACCAAGAGATGATGCTAGAGGAAGAATTAGATAAACTGGAATCAGATGATGTCTTTGGGACCTGTTCTTGACAGTTGTTTAAGTTGTCATCAATCTTTTTCTCTCCTTTGAAGAGCCAGCCAAGAAAAAGTAAACCTGCTCCACAACTTTGTTTACAGACCATCATTATAAAAATTTTAACTACTTCATTTGCAGATTAGACTAGGCTAGTTGTGAAAGAAAAACAAAAGGTACTGGATTATAAATCCTGGACTTTTTTATCTGCTTAAATGTTAAAAATTGAACCTTGGTTTTCTCATTATATCTCCTTCAACAGGTGGAAGGAGCAATAGGCTCTGATATTTGTAGACATTTTCTTGTAAGTGATAATGGGGTAATTGCTGTTGGGTTTTTGTCCACAGTTTTTGGTTGTCAAAGTTGGTGGCAAATGGCAATGATGATCATCCTGATTTGTGAATTGAAAAGCACACACACACACACACACACACATATATATATATATATATATATATATATATATATTGTCTTTGCTTATTTTACCTACTGATCATCCTTTGATTAGGCACTAAAGAGCCAGTGACTTCAATTGTAGATTCTTTTCTTTTCTTACATATGTCCCCTTTTCTTTGATTGATTATGCAGGTAATTCTGTGTTATTTTTATAGATCCTGAGGTAAGTCTAACTAGTTTTAAGGAATAGATTAGTGAATCATTCATGGGAATGATTCTTTAAGTGATACTAAATTTTAAACAAAACAAATAAGTAAGCTGCAAATTATAGCCCTCCTTTCCCACCCCACTTTCAGGTGGACTGCCCAATGGAAAAGTTGCTTCTGGGGAAGGAAGTTTCTATTTGAAACTTTTCATTAATTAAGTACAATTCCCTTGTGAGCAGTAATATAAAGGGTAATAGGGAATGAGTTATATGTCATTTTCTTTAAGTTTAGCATAATAAAGAATTTTTTGGTATAAAGATATCCAAGTTTGAGGTAAGAAAAAAAACTGCTTTTAAGTGATACGATTTAAATCTTAAATTTATTGAATATCAATTAATTAAATTAAATATCGGAACCACGTATTCTTTGTAGCCCACATCGTTTATATTATTATTATTATTATTATTATTATTATTATTGTTATTATTATGAGGTCTAGAATTTGTAAGCTGAAAATTAATCTACTCGAACTGAAAGTAACTTGGAAATAGAGCAACTACTGTGAGACTAGTAAAAAGTTATCAAACTTAGTAATTGAGAAAAGCTGGTGGCACTAAATTAGCAATTGATGCCGGAGACAATACTGTATCTATAACTCAGACCAGAAGTAAAGCTTGCTACTTGAAATAGCATTGAGAAAAACCATTTGGGTTTCAATTAAGATGACCCAAAGTCGTCAAAATGCTGCAGGACAAAGGCTGACAATGACCGGAAAATGAATTATTATGATTGAAACTTAAGGTTTTGTCCTTAAGAGAATAATACAATTGACCATCCCATTCAAACTTCCTTTCTAAGGATAAATTATTACCAAAACCCTACCTAATAATAAGATATTAACTGCAGTTCAAAGATTCATATTTATATATATATATATATTATATAATAACAAATTAAATTTTATATCTCATAATTCTAGAGTCACTTGCATGAAATGCCAAAAATAATAATGATAATAATGTTAGATCATAGTTTTCAATCTTTTTGATCCACTCATTTCTATAAAAAAAAAACATTTTCATTTATTTTGTTAACTCTCATATCGTATTTTATTACTTATATCTACGTCTTTTGTGATTTACTTTTAGAAGTTTAGGTTTTTCTCAAATCTAAAAACTTATTTCTCCTAACTAGTGTATAAATAGACCTATGTTTCACATGTCCAAATTATTTCAAATAACCTTTTCTCATCTTTTTCTCAATTTGAACTATTCTTAACTTTCTTTGAATTTTTTTATTTTTGATTTTATCTCTTATAGTCTTCTCACACATTCATCTAAACATCTTCATTTTTGCTATATTTTTTTCTTTTCATGTTATTTCTTAATAGCCCAACACTCAATTACATATAAAAAAGTAGGCATTATAGTTATTTTATACAACTTTGCCTTTAACTTGAAAGGTATCCTGTGATCACACAACATACCCAATGTACTTCATCACCTCACCTATCTTGCTTGAATCCTATGATTCATATCATTTTTTATCTCAGTATCGCTCTGAATAATTGATTCCAAATATTGAAAATGACTACTTTTTGGTCTTATCTCACCATCCAACTTAATCACATTAGCACTTATTTCCCTATTACTACTAAACTTATATTCCATATATTAGTTTTAGATTTATTCTATTTAAAACATCGAGACTCCAGCATATCTGTCTCCATAATTCTAATTTTGCATAACATCATCACTAGTTTTAGCAACTAAGATTATATCATTGACAAATAACATAAACCATGACACCTTATCTTCAATATGTCATTAAGCTTGTCTATAATTAATGCAAAAAGAAATGAATTTAGTGCTGAGCCTTGATACAATCCTAAAGTAATGGGAAAATTATCAATCAAGCCCCCAGACATCCTTATAGTCATTAAAAACTACTACATACATATCTTTATTTATGTTAATGTACTTTAAGGGAACTCATTTCTTCATTAAGGTCCATCAAAGCATCTTTCAAGGAATTTTATCATATGTTTTCTCCAAGTCGATAAATATCATATGTAGATATTTCTTTCGTACTCGAAAACCCTCAAACAAAAGCCTCAATAGATGAATTACCTCTGTTGTGGAGCATTCTGGCATAAACTCAAATTGGTTTTCAAAAATAATGACCTCATGTCACAACCTACATTCAATTACTCTCTCCAAAAGTTTCATATTATGACTCATAAGCTTTATTACTCAATAGTTCGAATGATTTTGTATATCAAATTTATACTTGTATAAAGGCATTAGAGCATTTTTCCTCCATTCTTTTGATATCCATCTAATCCTTATTTCACCCAAGCATTTTTAAATCTCAATTGGGATTCTATTTGGTCTTACAACTTTCTTTGCTTTCATCCTTTTCAAACTCACATATATCATGCTTAAATTGCCATTAAAAAGATTATCAAAATAATCTCTCAATTGTTTCTTAATTTTCTCATCCTTCACTAATACTCTTTTGTTATCGTCTTTGACGCCTCTTACGCCATTAATTTCCTTACTCTTCTTATTCCTTATCTTAACAATTTTGAACAACTATTTTTCTCAATCTCTCGTCTCTAGTTTTCTATGTAATTCCTTATGGATCTTAGTCTTTGAAGCTTAAATAACCTTTTTTACTTTCTTTTTCGTTATTTTATACTTCAAATAACTTACCTTATCCCTATTACTCTTTAAATTCTTATAACATTCTCACTTAATTTTAATTGTCATTTTCACATCCTTATTCCAACACCAAAATTCCTTTTCTAATAGCATATGATCCTTATATTGGCCAAGTTTCTCTTTAACAACCTTTAAATTCTGGTAAAAATTTTTTCTCACATTACTTCTATATCCTTATCAGATTTTCAATTAACCTCTTTTACTAGCTTACCTCTAAAAACTAACATTTTGTTTCCCTTCAAATTCCTTCATTAAATACGTGGTTCATGACTCTAACGTATCCTCTTTGATCCTAGAGGTAAAATATATTTAGAACTAACAGTCTATATTATGTTGTTATACTTTCACTTTGTATAACCTTACAATCCTAACAATTACTTCTATCATCTTTCCTCGTAAAAAAAAAAAATAATTTGATTAGCATTTGAACTATTCTTAAAAGTTACAAAACGTGATTCTCTTTTTATAAAATGTGCCTAATGATTTGCTATAGGGAAAAAATGTTTTTTTAATTTAAATTGTATTTAAATTTTAAAAATATTTGTTTTTTTTAATATATTTTAGTTGATATAATTAATTTTTTAAGAATTTATTAAAATAAATAAATATAAGTTAAAAAATGAAAATAGTTTATTTTAGGTAATGATAAGTATATATGTCCGTATCAAAGACTTAATTTTGAATCTTCATCCTTAAAAAATTATATTTAAAAAAGTAAAGTTAAGTATGAATATAATTTTCATGTATTGTCATTTCTTATAAAATATATATACTACATACAACCTAAGAAACTATTTTCAATATTATATTTAATTTAATTTAATTTAATGTGATTATGTTGGTATGCTTTTATTTATTCTTCTTTTAAAATTATAAAATAATAGTATGAAATAATTTTTTTCATAAAATATATAATTAATGAAATAATATATAAGCATAAAAATTTAAATCAATTTCAACATTTTACATATAATTAATTAATATAATTATACATTTTATTCTTTATTATCGTAAAATTGATATTTGATTGATATTTATTGTATATTTGTATATGATTAAGTCCATATTGATATGCAAAGCTTTAATTTTAATTTTTATTTAATAAAAATATTTTTATCTTAAATTTGTTAATGTGAAATTTTGATTTATCTTTAGATTTGATGTTGATAATTATTAATTATTTTTTATTTTTAGAAATTTTGTAAATTTTTTTTTTGTGATTTTATGACTATTTTGCAAAGAAAAAAAACCCAAAAAGGGCTTAAATGCCTGGAGCCCAATTGCTTGAACCTACACAACAGTTTTGCCCAAAATTTGGGATCATGATTTGGGCTAAAACAGTCACAAAGCCCATGAGTTGTGGCACATATGAACCATATTTTCATAACTCATCTTCCTCCCTACGAGAATTGTTGACGATAATGGTTGACACCAAAGATAAACCTTAAAAACGGTGGGGAAATTTTGAAAAACTGCCTATTTCCTAAGGATACTTTTGTGATTTAACACACAACAATTCCTTTAAGAGTTGTGCTATTTACACCATAATTTTTTTCTTCACACCCCACTACTATTAACACCTAATTTTGTACTTAATATATCCCAAACCTAAAACATAAATTAACTAAAACCAAAAACCCATCTCTTCATGCTCCATCTCCTTCAATCGAAAACCTTAAAACTCTTAAAGGATTAAGCTCCAAATCAAGCCCCAATCTCCCATTTGACATTAGATAACTAAGAATTAGAGGTAAATAGTTTTTTTTCTACTTTTTTGTTTAATTTTGTGTTTAGTTTCGTAAGATTAAAGATTTTAAATTTTGGGGTGTGATTTAAACATTTCAAAAATAAATTTTTGAAAATTATTGAAGATTTTCAAAAATAGATGTTCGGAATCGTTAAAGAACTTTCAAAAATTCATTTTCGGAGTCCTTAAAAGACTTTTTGATATCTATTTTCGAAAACCTTTAAGAATTTTCAAAAGTACATTTCTAAAAATTTTTAATGATTTCTAGACATTCATTTCTGGAAGCTTTTAAAAATTTTCGGAAATAGATTTTTAGTACACAATAACTTGACATC